GAACGTGGATTTGTACCGATTACAAATACAAGTAAATAAGTGTCAAATATGGGAGAAGCCAAATTCAAATAATATCGGTCACAAATATCATTCAGATATTTAGTAAAGACAACTACCATATGTATAACATGTTAACTTTGGTCCAAGATCGGTGTCGCAATGACGCCAGGATACAATGCAGGCGCCCTGCATAAACCGAAACCTCCTCCGGGCACTTCACCGCGAGATGAATTTGCGGTCTTCATTGCCTTGTCATGCTGGTAGTTATGGAAACCAAGAAACGCAGCTGTTTTCAGAAGTGAAAGGGCGACCATCAGGCAACTGCTTGGAGCCTGCCGAGCAATGGCGTGCAAGGTTCCCAAAGGAAAAATTTGTTTGTGACACCGTCGCACAAGTCCTGCTGTGCGACACCCCGTAACTGCTCGACGTATGGTGCCAAGTTTCTGAATCCGCAATGCATGAATGACGGTGCTCTCTGTTCTTACAGGAATCAGATATGACGACACCACCATCTGAGTGATGTCTTGTAAACATTCAAATATGTAAAACAATATAACGGGCGTTTGGGGGCCAATATACGTTCACCTTAAAAAATATATATGTATAACATGTGTTTACAATTCTTCAAGACGCTTGGGTAAAAAAATCATCGAACATTTGTGTTGGCTGAGCAGCAGGCGTGCTAGGAAATCCGCTCCCCGCCCCCGTTTGGACCAACATATATATGGCAACATGCAACTGCCTCGAGAAATAAGGCCCGAAGGGAGAAAGCCGCTGGTCCGGCCCAAGTGCCCAACCAACCAGGACATCATCAGCGCAGGCGGGACAGGTTTGCTTGCTAATCTCACACGTGACACCCACTATCGAAAACAGTAAAATTACCGAGTGACTGAGGGTTTACCGAGTGCATTTCATCGGGCACTCAGCAAATCTCTTGTTTACCGAGTGTTTTTAATTCGATACTTGGCAAACATATAGCACTCGGCAAAATCCAACTTTACCGAGTGCCTAATAAAAAACACTCGGCAAACTACACCGAAACACTCGGCAAACACGGACACTCGACAAAGTATAGGCACATGTGCTGGGCGTGCGGCGGCCATATGACAGCCGTTGGATGCGCCGCCCTGCCGTTAGAACTTTGCCGAGTGTCCGTTAGAGACACTCGGCAAAGACAAGGTATGCCGTGTGTTTTTGACTGACACTCGGCAAAATAATGTTTTTGCCGAGTGTTTTTTATTTACACTCGGCAAAGTAATGTTTTTGCCGAGTGTTTTTTATTGGCACTCGACAAAATAATAATAATTTTTTCCCTCATGCCCTCTAAACTTTTTCTACTCTCCACATACAACATGTGGTACTGCATGTTAAAATTTGGTATATTTCTCGATCTGTTTGCTATATTTAATTAATTTATTGCATTTAGAGGAATTTTTTTGTTAAAGTCAAATTTGAACTAGAAGTGATTCAAATAATGGAATAAATTGAGTGGAGAAATCATATTCATGTTATTGAGTCCATTTTGAGGCCTTACCCGGGAAATGAAAAGAATTTTCGAACACTTTGTTTAGGAAACACGACCACGAACGTGTGGTCGAATGCTTTTTAAATTCTAAAAAAAGCAAATAAAGTCTGAAAATCACAAGATTTGTCAAGATCTCATGATATCATACGTGGAGACTGTGAAAAAAATTGAGAAGGTTTCGCACAATTTGTCACGTACGACGCTTACAAATCGAGGCATCTCCGAAGAAGAATCAAGGAGTTGAGAAGGTTCTGGTAAGATTTGAAGTCAAAGTGATGGTCGAATTTAGGTTTGACTTCAAAACTTTTTGTATAGGCAATAGACAACATAGATTGGTCCATGTCAAATTTTGAAAATTTTTCGGATCCGTTTGATAATTTTAATTTATTAACTGCAATTATAGAATTTTAATTGATATAAATTGAATTTGAGCTATAGCTGCATGAAATAATGGAATAATATTCGTTGAAAAATCAAATATACATTGTTGAGTGAATTTGACAAGGTACTTTCAAAGTCCATCATAACAAATTTAGTAGAACACGCTACGAAGAAGGAGGACGGTGGAGCATGAAATATAAATTTTTTTGCCGAGTGTTCTCTACCTGACACTCGGCGAAAATAATAGTTGCCGAGTGTCATATAGGGGACACTCGGTAAATTCGTCGACCCAGCCCCACTGCACAGTATCGGGCCGTAATGAAAATAAAAAAACAATGCCGAGTGCTCCAGGTCTTGGCACGGCATATCTATATTTTGCCGAGTGCCTCCAATCTTGGCACTCGGCATACTCCTTCATATGCCCCCAGCGGCCCGCACCCCCGGCCCTCACCCTCGCGCACACAACACACCCTTCACACACACGCCGCACCGCACGCCGCCAGCCCCGCCGCCTCCCCGCCCATCCACGCGGCATCGCTGCCCCGCCCCCCGCGCCGCCCGCCCCCGGCACGTCCCGCCCCCAGCGCCGCCTGCCCACGGCGCCGCCCGCCCCGGCGCGTCCCGCCCCCGGCGCCCCGCTCCGCCCCGCCCCCGGAGCCGCCCGCCCCGGTGCGTCCCGCCCGTCAGCAGGCGGCTGTTGCGACAGAGGACAGGTGAATTCCATACTTCGTGTAAAAATCGACGTGGCTCCTTGGCTGGCCCATCTGTATGTACATCTTGTAAAACGCTGCTCCAGTCATGTGGCATATTGTTGTAACTCTATCGCATGGGATCCATTCCTCGGCTACACAGTGCGTGTATCATCTTCTAGCTGGTCTTCCTGTTTTGCAAAACCTAGCTCTGAACCGTGTGCTGTTTGAACCATGACATGTGTACACAAGCTATCGATGATCACAGAGTGAGAATAGTAACCACAACATACATACGGATCATCATACAATACATACTTTCCGCAACTTTTGAAATGCAGATATTTATTTACTTGAAGCATACTGTTTTTGACGCTATGTATGTGTAACTGAGATTAGTGACGTAGTTGGTCTCAAGAGCTGCTCAAGAATTTGATTGAGGTGCCTTTTCAATTCCCTTTCTTTCTTCCTGGCAAAAATTCTTCCCCTTATGGTTGTGTCCCCTTTCCATGCCAAGCAGTTACACTTCTGTAGAGCAGCTATGGAGTTGTTACAAGTTTAAACTCTGGCGCTGGTGGATGCAAGTAGATTTGTTTTTTTGATATAAATTGCTCGAAATTAACAAGCTGTGCTTAACACCATGTTGCAACTGGCAGCAGCAGTTCAGCAGCCAGCACGGTTTGCATGGGATCACGGATCATGTTCCCGTGTCTGCTTTGTGATAGAGTCTTCAACAGTATGATAGTATCTTGTGTAGGTCTTCTCTGGCTGAATTGGTCTCGCAATTTTTTTTCCTGGAGTGGTGGATTGTCAGGATTGGGATGCCAAGTACTATATGCGTCTGGTTGATAAGAACGGGGGAGGACTGAACTGAGGGAGTGGTTGCATCATGCTGATGGAGTGTGGTAGTGGTACTGTAGTGGTGGTCCTGGTATTTCCATTCTTATGTGGTGAAGGCAATTGAATCTATTATCATGTTGAATTTAACAAAAATATATATGTTTTATTGTAAGTAAACATTGCTAGAGTTGTTAGTACTAACCTATATATCATTTTCCTGCAACTTAAAAAGGAACCTAACACTGTTTCAAATACTTTTCTTTTGTGCAGAATCAATCGGCGGTATCAAATAATCAGTCTCAAGACCCGGATTTATCGCAGTGGTTCCAAGGGCCTGCACAGTGATTGCATTTGCATTTGTGGCTTATTATGACTTAGTTGTGACTTGTGATGATGGTTTATTGTGAATTGTGATAATGGTTTATTGTGAACTGTGATGATGGTTTATTATGCCTGTGACATACAATTATGCCTGTGACATGTAATTCTGCCTGTGATGATGCTTTATTGTGAATTGTGATGGTTTATTATGAATTGAGAGGGGTCCGTTATACATGACAGATTAGTAAAAAAAGGGGTATTGGTCGCTTTGCCGAGTGTAACACTCGGCAAAGGGAGGAGTTGCCGAGTGCCAAGCCAAAACACTCGACGAAGAGACCAATTTCTGTTATTTTGGGAACCTTCTTTGCCGAGTGTTTTGTCTTTGCCGAGTGTATTCTAATGGACACTCGGCAAAGTAACCATAAAATCTGCCTGTTGCGCTCTTTTTTGCCGAGTGTATTGGTCTTGACACTCGGCAAAGTGTGTAAACGTTGCGAGTGCTTTGGTCTTGACACTCGGCAAACTTTAGAAACTTTACCGAGTGTTTTGTAATTGACACTCGGCAAAGTTTCAGTGTTTTTCGCTTGACACTCGGCAAACTTTAGAAATGTTACTGAGTGTTTTGGAATTGACACTCGACAAAGTTTAGAAACTTTGCCGAGTGTTTTGGTCTTGACACTCGGCAAAGTTGAGAAACTTTGCCGAGTGTTTTCCCGTCGTGCACTCGGCAAAAGAGCTGTCACCGTGCCATCCCGTTAATATTTTTTGCCGAGAGTTTATTTTTGCCGAGTGTTTATTGACACTCGGCAAACCATTTGCCGAGTGCGTGATAAAAAATACTCTGTAAACTACTGTTTACCGACACTGTAGATGCCGTGAGCCCTATGCCGAGTGTTACAATCGGCAAAGCTGTTGCCGAGTGTTTTTGGTCTTTTGCCGAGTGCCCCTGGCACTCGGCAAATCTACTTTATCCCGTAGTGACCACACGATAGATGCCTATGATTCCAGTTGGACCCATGTGTCAGAGTTAAAGGCCAAACTGGGAAAATGAGTTGGGCTAGCCCATTGGGTGGCATCCGATAGCGCCTAGGATTGCCCAGCTGCGTCGCTGCGGGGCAACATATCTGCGTCTCTCGATCCCCTTCCTTGTCCAAGGCTCCAAGCCGACAGCCATCGCTTTCTCACAATCCAGAGCTAGAACCAACCCCGTTTGTTTCGAGAGGGAGCAGATAGGTTAGGGCACGATGACCGTGTTTACTAAGGATTGCGACCGACATCTAAAGAGGAAGGAGGAGGAGGCCGCGTCGATGGCCCAGCCGGCCGGGGCCAAGAAGAAGAGGAAGAAGGCCACAGTAGAGAAGAGGAAGGAGGCCATCGCGTCAGACTCAAGCGACAGTGCCGTCGAGGAGGAGGATGGTAGCTTGTTCAAGGAGGGTGAGATGCTGAAGCTGAGGGAGGAGTACTGGGAGGCGGCGCTTCTGTGGGAGGAGAAGCTTGTCCCGAGGGTGTTGGATCACTGGTTGGAGAGAAAGATCACGCAGGTGCCCACGGTCGACAGCAACAAGAAGAAGGTGGGTAGGATAATTATGCCCAATGCTTACATCAAAGACATTATCGAAAATCCCAACATGATGAGAGAACTCTCTAATGAGGAGATGGCCGAGTGTCTTCAGGAATACCGCCAAAGTTATGCGACTGCCAAGGTCATCAATACTAAGAACCACACATATTAGCAAGCCCTCATCGCTCAGTACCATGCTTTTGGCTTTGCCTATGATGAAAAGGAGGTCACAGACGATGAGGAGGAGAAGGTGGTGAAGAACTAGGCAGAGCAAAGGAGTGGTTGAATAATAATTTACAAGCAGCCTGTGTTTAATTTGTTCAAGATCAAGCTACCCTAAGCTTACGACGGGCATATTGCCTACCACTGTACCACTAAAAGAATAGTGTTATTGAATCCTAAAATACATCAAGGAAAATGCGAATACTCACGTTAAGTCAAAGACTTAAAACAGGATGGACAAATTCTCGCTCAATGTAGCACATCATTAAGTCATTAATACATGACATCTTGTTATGCAATTCAGTTTTGATAATCTTCATAGTTGAAAAGACCCTTTCAACCGATGTCGCCGCGACTAGTAGTATCAATGCCAACTTAGTTAGATAATAAAGCAATAGGAAAACATGTCTGCCAAGTTCAACCATTTGTGCAACTAGGCTAGAAGATCCTAATAGTTTTGAAACTCCTCAAGTCTTTTCACATGAATAATAAACAGTTCAAGTTGATCTTTTATACCCCTCTTGTTGGAATAGGAGAATGCATCAGAATATATCTCAGTAAGCCAAGCAAACATGTGCACATCACATTTAGAGAATGAATCTCTCGGGTCAAGACAAGAAAAGCAAAGAAACAATTTTGAAGATATCTCATTAAACTCATGATCAAACTCTGTGTAATAGCATCTTAGTAGTATAGAAGGTATTGACATGATAAATAGTCTTGAGCGATGTTGTCCCTAGCCCCTTTTCTTGATTTGCTAAATCTTGATACTACTTCATTCATATTTGGTATTGGAATATTGCTTTCACTACAAAATTTTGTGTCTTTGTGTAATAGTGGCTCCCAATCATCATTCCTCAAATTCATCAAACGTGTTTTCACATCAATAACAAAATACATGGCTTGAACAATATTTTGATCCTTCCTTTGCAAGATAACACAGAACTCATTTAATTTGTGATGCATAGGATTTGCAACATCATATTGATAATGAACGCAAAGCTAAAGGACTCCATGATTTCCACTAAACCTCTTGCGATACATGGATTACACACATTTTGATGCACAATTTCTAGAACTTCAGTTACTGCATCCCACATTAATTAAATATGAAGTAATGTGTTGTAATGAGAACCCCATCTTGTATCTCCAGGTCTAGCCATGGCTGTTGCTTAATGTTTCCTTTGTCCGAGGGAATCTCTCCACTGCACAACTTACCCAAAAGAATCTTGTACTCTTGTGCTTTTATCTAGCAACAAAGCCTTCCTCTTGCAAGATGAAGTAATGGTGTTCACAATCAAGGCCATAGATTCAAAGAAATCCTCAATGGATAAATAACATCAACAACTACCAATTGCAATGGATGACCAAAGCAATGGACATAGAAAGCATATAAGTTTTCATCAAGAATTAGCTTGTGAAGGCCAATAAATTATCCTCTCATATTAGAAGCACCATCATACCTTGCCCTCATAAATTTGCAATGTGTAGCCCATGCTCACTGAGTACTTCAACAATCATTATCTTCAATGCTTCTAAGGTTGTCTCCTTCACATGCTTATAATAGCTAAAAATCTATCTGTCGGGTTCATAAACCTAGGGTCCCCAATGGACCCGCTTCCCTACAAAACTCGGCCCAGCAGGCGGCGCATCGACAGCACGCACCTAGGTCGGCCCAGATACACAATGTTAGGCCAAGACCACGATCCGGTCCCTGACTGGCACCTTTGGCCAGGAGATCTGGTCGAAGCCCCAACCGAAAGGCCTGACTATGGTGGGACCGCAGTCCGACTCCAACCCCCTTTCTCCGACCGAGGATACGCTGGACCTTTGCTCACTGCTCTTTCCTGACCGACACGGTCGGGGCCGACTAGGAACGACCGACCGGCTGACTTGACCCAAGGAGTAGGTGTTGCAGATAAGGTAAGGCGCTCAAGTCAACCGTAGTACTGAGGACCATACCCTGCCATGCCCTGCGCACTTGCAGGACGGTGCCATCGGGCCATGTCAGACGGACACTGTACAGCCTGCCAGACACGTCAGAGCATAAACAGTATTGTGGGCGTCGTCGTTTGCCGTACCAGGCGAACACTATATAGCCTTCTAGACGCGTTAGAGCATAAACAATATTGTGGGCGTCGTCGTTTGCCATACCGGGTGAATACTGTGCAGCCTACCAGATACAATAGAGCATGAACAATAAGGTAGGCGATGGCGGTGTAAACAGTATGGTGGGCGACAGTGGCCATCCCGTACCCAATGGCGTGGGCAACAAGACTAGGCAGCGTCTATATACTCTCTCTCTCTCTCTCTCTCTTTCTCTCTGACTTGTAAGGCCACCCCCTTTAACTATAAAAGGGGATGCGCTCTCTCCTAAACGATGACCCGAGGACTCGAGGACTCAACGACTCGACAGCTACACAGTCTACACACTCTCAATAGCTGATAAACTCAGACACATAGAGCATATGCTCCAATACTTAGCATATGTTTGAGCCCCCATCACTCTCTTTCACTCGGACTAGAGTCCAACCAGGCCTTTTACACCCCACTTCATTCCTCACTCGCTTGTAACCCCACAACAAACTTCGAACACCTAGGCTTAGGAATAAAGTCACCAACTGACCTCAACTGGACGTAGGGCCCATTGCCTGAACCAGTATAAATCCTGTGTCATTGAGTGCTAGGCCACATCCAATCACAACGCACGACAAAACTATAAATATTTACTTGTTGGCCACATTTCGCACCGACGGTTGGCGCCGTCCATGGGGAGGACGCCGTGCATTTTTTAGTCATCGAATGGCCCACCTTTCCACCATCTTTGGCTTGGCGGGCTCGAGTGATATGATTCGCTTTGGCTCGCTAGAGTTTCCCACGCTCCCACTTGTTGGGATGTGGGTTCCTCCCATCTTCGAGCCACTCCAGACCTTCCTCTTCGAAAGTCTAGACTTCATCATCGACTAGCTCGACGTACTCCACCTCCGCGAGGAGGCACTCGTCCTGACATCCACTGGAGGAGGAGTGCCCTCCACCGGCCCCGGGTCACTCGACGACCTCAATGTCGAGACACTCACGCTCTGCTCGAGCCCTTGCTGGGCTCAAACCCCACGGTGAGTAACATAGATATTATTCTTTATTCACTGTTTAACACCTTCTGCCAACTCTCCGAAGGGACCCCGTTGTCCCCACCGTGACCACCATGCTACCGATTCCCCTATGGCTTCGCGTCCCCCATGGACGCTTGTGCACGGGGGCTCTAGAGGATGCTGACGTTGCCCCCTCTCACATCCAAGTTCATAGGGATGGCGAGCTATGCCCTCGCCTCCTTCCATGACCTCATCGATGAGGTTGAAAGCGATAGCTCTAGCATCGGTGATGTCATGGCACCTGGCCACCCTCTGTCCTGGGAGTGTGCTATGGCGGACGCCCAGGATAGCTACCGGAGGTGGTGGAGTCTCTGCAGACTCACACCTCTTTGAACCCCCGTGCGTAGGCCCTGGAGCGTGCGCAGGAGCACGACAAGGAGTTACGACAAAGGCGGCAGAGCCAGCCGCCACCTACGTTGGTGCGCCCGGTGCAGCATGCTGCGCCACATGCGCGTAACCCAGTGAGCGGCGCTCGGGGTCATGCCCGTTAGGTCTAGCGTAATATCCTGGATGGAGGGGACGATCCCCCTCAGTTTGCTCGGGCTAGACAAAACATCGCTACTGCCGCGATGCTTCTGCACGGCCTCCCTAAGCCTACCGACCCCCAGGAGCAGGTGATCCACTAGAACCTCCTAACGCTGGTGGAGACCACCGCCATTCAGTAGGCGGAAAGCTCCGTGTCACGACACCGGCATGCATCCTCTTGCCCGGTCGGGGGACTGGGGCCGCACCAGTCGAATCACTCCGTCCACTCACCACAGCAGTTGCTAGGCATGGAGCAGGAGGCCACGGCTACGCCACAGCCCAACCCAGCGCCCGCTCCACACCGACCACCTGTGCGTGAATGGCTCGGGCTGAACCATGATGCTTGCAGCGTCATCAACAATCGATGCCACTCTTGGCACAATGATGACGTCGAATGGCGGTGAGAGCAGGCGGCACGAGCCCTAGCCTGACCATCGAGGAGTACAAGGACATGCACCCCAGGCATGGCGGCTGACTAAACGACCGGAGCCCCAGCCCGGATGGCCTAGGGCCATGGGCCTTTGGTCGCCGCATCCAGAAAGCACCGTTCCCATAGCGCTTCCGACCGCCCACCAACATCACCAAGTACATCAGGGAGATGAAGCCCAATATATGGCTCAAAGACTTTCAGCTCGCCTACCAAGCCGGAGGAGTGGATGATGACTACTTCATCACCTAGTACCTCCCCATCTATGTTGGGAATCATGTTCGAGTATGGCTCGAATTCCTTCCACCCGACAACATCCGCGACTGGGTAGATCTCAAGAGGGTCTGTGTCAGAAATTTCCAGGGGATGTATGTCCATCCTAGGAATTCCTAGAACCTCAAGAGCTGCCAGCAGGAGCCCAACGAGTACCTACGGGATTACATCCGTCGGTTCTCAAAGCAGTGCAACCCCCTTCCTAATGTCATCGACGTGGACATCGTCAGTGCGGTCCTCTCTGGGACAACCTGCAAGTCCCTAATCTACAAGCTCGGCTGTGTGAAGCCCCGTACCACCCATGACCTGCTCGACATTGCCATGAACCACGCCTCCGACAAGGAGGCGGTCTTCAATGATGGTTGGGACAGGGGCAAGGCCAAGCGCAAGGACCAAGGTGAGTGCCCCTCCACACAAAAGGGCAAGAAGAACAAGAAGGATCAGCTTCAACTGGCCAACCCAGCATTGGTCTCCGCGGCCGACCACGTGGGCAAGCAGCCCTAGCAGCCCTAGCCGGACCACTTCGACAAGCTCATGGAGAGTCCATGCACCAACCACGCCTATCTCGTCAAACAC